CCCAATAAACAATATGGCGTCGGAAACCGTGAAAGGAACTATAAATAAACTAATATAAAACTCGTGTGAGTACTCTTTTATGTAAATTATGACGCAGTAAATTCCTCGTCCACCCACTCGTTGAAGGTTTCGGCATGAAAATCCCTTTTTCATACCGAAAATATTCGATTAGAAATAGATACGTTTAGCTAACCAAAACAAAAATCATTACTTTAGTTAATACAATAACATATAACTCGTGCGGGTACTGCTACTAAAACAAGGAACGGCCTGAAACCACCTGAAACCACCTAAAACGACCTGAAACGACCTAAAACCATCTTGAAATCACCTGAAACCAGCCAAAACGTTGAATCTCCATCGCGTTTGTCGTCCAGTTTGTGTATTTTATTGATTTTTATCGATCGATCAAGTGTTTGTTTTCCTTGGAAGGGATGTACTTCATGGTAGAATGTCATATATTCGCTAATACGTATAGTCTCCCATAGAAGTATTCCACACTTATACCTCACCTCTCCCTTGCTATGATTACCTCTTCCTAGCTGATCAACTGTTCCTAGCTATGACCAACTGTCACTAGCTATGATCAACTATCTCTAGTTTCTAATTTAGCTCCAGTTTCTAATTATCTGCTTAGAATACTACCAAATTAAGTTTAAAGTAAGTTGGATTCAGGCACTCTTACCACGAAAACCACATATGTTCAACCTCTTTCACCTCCTCCGTGTCCCGATCTTACAGATCTCAACGCGCATTTTCATCTCGTGTTTCACCAATGTCAATCATGACGAGGTCCACCAATGGCATTCGTAACACTAAATTCCGATCATACCTAACTCACCAAAAACAAATGTACTGTGCCCATAGGCCCAGCACAAAAATATATATACATATGTATATATATATATATACAGGCATATACACACACATGTATACGCATATATATATCTATACACACCCGTACACACAACGAACATACATACATATGCACGCATACATGCGATGATTGTTACGCCACAAAATGTAATAACTCGCACAAAATGTAATAACAACGCAAAATGTAATAACTTTTGACGCAAAATGTAATAACTTCAATAACACATTTTAAATATCCAGAAATTCAATATTTGCTCGGTATACGAACCATACCAGGTGACTTTTAAGTTGAATTTCGCATGAACCGTTAAGATAAATATTCATGTTGAATACGCGATTTCAGCGTGTGGATTTTACAAGGCAAGTCCACTCACTCCAACAGTAGTATATTTGAGGGGAAAATCAGCAACTCTTCATAAATATCACCAATATCAAGCCAACTCAGGATCAACATACTTCAATTATTTTAATAATTGAAGTATGTTAAAACTATCGTATTGA